AGAGGCTATCTGAGCTAATAGTGAACTGATAGAGGCTATCTGAGCTAATAGTGAACTATAGAGGCTATCTGAGCTAATAGTGAACTGATAGAGGCTATCTGAGCTAATAGTGAACTTATAGAGGCTATCTGAGCTAATAGTGAACTGATAGAGCTTGTCTGAGCTAATAGTGAACTGATAGAGCTTGTCTGAGCTAATACTGAACTGATAGAGGTTATCTGAGCTAATAGTGAACTGATAGAGGCTATCTGAGCTAATAGTGAACTGATAGAGCTTGTCTGAGCTAATAGTGAACTGATAGAGGTTGTCTGAGCTAATAGTGAACTGATAGAGGCTATCTGAGCTAATAGTGAACTGATAGCGCTTGTCTGAGCTAATTGTGAACTGACAGAGGCTATCTTAGCTAATTGTGAACTGATAGAGGATATCTGAGCTAATTGTGAACTGATAGAGCTTGTCTGAGCTAATAGTGAACTGATAGAGCTTGTCTGAGCTAATAGTGAACTGATAGAGCTTGTCTGAGCTAATAGTGAACTGATAGAGGCTATCTGAGCTAATAGTGAACTGATAGAGCTTGTCTGAGCTAATTGTGAACTGACAGAGGCTATCTTAGCTAATTGTGAACTGATAGAAGCTATCTGAGCTAATTGTGAACTGATAGACAGAAGAAATTAGTTATTCAGCACCACCCACTGTTAACTCTGGGGCTGCTCTAATGGGATTTAACCATCACTCTTATAAGATATCGACGGTCCCAAAGTCCCGATCGCACTTAGCGGTAAGTGGACGCAAACCATGAACTATCGGATTCACAGTTCGGGCACTCTAGCTTTTGGCCACGCCCGACTCACAGTATTAAGATTAAAACGACCAAATCACTCCAAAATACGTTAATTTCATCAATCGTATGCTGTCTTTGAATGAGTTAACCATTTAGTAACAGACACCTATACACTTTAATAGAAATAAGATAAAAACAGGGTAAGTACATAAATGACAGGTTTTTTTTTTCACCACGTAATCAGATGTTGTTTTTATTTACCCACTAGTTTTCGTTCTTTCAATAACTCATCATTATGGTGGATTAAAGGAATTAAAAATAAACATATTTAACATAAATTTCAATTTAATGTTTATGTTAATGGTTTACGATTTTAATAGTTTCTTAATTCACATTTTTTTAAAGTAATATTGTATTTGTCTTTTCTGTAATTTAATTGGTAGTATCATTTTAATAATTATGTTACGTGGTAGGTTTAGCCGAAATATCAATAAATAGGAAATGTTAAGTGAAAACTTTTTAACTCTCCTATCGTTATTGTTGTATGAAAGCTAATGTGAAGAAAATAGTTCATTCAGACTAATTACTGTTACATGATACAAATATTACTTAAATTAGTAATGATTCCTTGTTGGCTTCAACGCTAAAAATCGAACTTCGATACCTGCAGTAGGAAGAGTTTTTTGTTTTATAAAAACAAGCTCTAAAAGTGGGCTGTTTCATGATCATCAGTAACAAATTAAAAGAGACCTTCCTTCAACTCAAGAAGTCTGTAATATATAAGACTTCAAATGTAGGTTTAGTGATTCACTTTAAGTTAACTATGAATGGGTCTACGGTCGTATTACCTTGGTTTATCTACTTAGGTCCTTACGGTGAGGATGGAAATTAAATTACTAATAGTGCATAATATTTTTAAGAATAAACTTTATTCTAAAAACACATTTTTTTTTCCAGTGTAACGTTTTTTTGAAATTAATATAATCCTTAACGTGTCTTCCACGTGGTTCGAGAGGCTTAGCATGATGGCCATCCTTCTGAACTGTGTCACTTTAGGAATGTACCAGCCATGTGCCGATGAAACGTGCACGTCAAATCGCTGCTATATCCTTCAGTTATTTGATCACCTCATTTTCTCTTTCTTCACTATTGAAATGATTGTCAAGATCGTGGCTCTGGGACTTATTGGCAAAAACACCTACTTGGCAGACACGTGGAACCGACTAGATATCATCATAGTGGCAGCTGGGTAAGTTCTAGATATCATCATAGTGGCAGTTGGGTAAGAACTGCCACTATGATGATATCTAGAAAATAGTGGCAGTTGGTAAGTTCTAGATATCATC